AGGTAAAACAGAGATACTAGCTTTTAATAGGTTGTCAAAAGATTTTTTCTTAGACTTCTGCATAGACAAAATTAGCTCTCTCTAGACAAAGGAATACTACAATCTCTCAGCGAAGTAACTTTTGCTTGTTATAAAAAACTTCTAGAATAAACCTCACATGTTATAACCGAATGAGGTTTTCATGCATGCATCCCTTAAGTAGCAACCAACTTCCCAATAATTCCCACAAATTACTTGAAGGGAATTTCAAGGTTTTAAATTAAGACCATTTTAAGATTTCTAGTGTTTATTTTTGTAAAATTATTATATTACTATATATCATTAATTACTATTAATTATAAATAGTTTCCTAATATCAAAGTTAATTTTAATATCACTTAATAATTGAATAATTTTTTCACTTTGTGTATGATAATTTCATTCAATAAAGCAATATGCATTATCTCTAAAAAGACATCCGTTAATATATATAAATTATTTTGAAGTGAACAATTTGATATAATGAAACTAGCTCACAAGAAAAATGTGAGATCAACATAGATAAGGTCTTAATAAAATTTATTTTTATTTGAATAAATTTTGAATTTAGTTAACACTAATCTCGCAGCTAATGTTTAAAATTAAATAAGTTTTTCTCGAAAATTTATATGCTATATGCAAAAAATTCGCTCTATCAATGGAACCCCACCTCTATCAATGCGTCAAATCGATATTTAAAGCGCTACCGGGAAGAAGGCACCTGGTCCTGTCGCTTACAAATATGTAGCTATGAATCATCGGTCTCCCTCTTCCACTCGGATATAGCTTTTCCGTGCGATAAATGTTGGTGATAGTGTTGACGTTATAAATAACATCGAAAATGGCATTTAAGCCTCGAAAGTTCCGATCAATTAGCCTTTTGACAGCAATAGATAAGGTGGCTGAAGCAATTATTTTAAATAGATTAGAGGCGGTTGTTGAGCTCCTTAAAATTTTAAGAGATTTTGTACGTATTTCGTTAATCGCCATAGCCTTTAAATGACGTCGGGATGGCTTCTAACCGAAAATAAAAAAGAAGTCTTGCTACGCGAAATGCACTCTTTGGCAATCTCGTACGACTTTGGAAACATGCTCAGTTCGTTCCTGAACAGCAGATGCTTCAGCGCACAAGTGGGCACTGCAGCGTAAACGCCTCGTCATTTCGCAGGTCTCGCAAAACCCATCCTATCACATCATCGTACACAGTCTAATGTCGTCATCGAATTTCTCTTTTCTAACGCAGCAAAAAGCCGACGCCGTTGATTCTTCCATGGCATGTAAATTTGTAGGACCTTTATGCGATATACTTGAGGGTTATTATAGGTTCTAACTGGCACGGCGCCCGCATGTGAATTACGTAATGACAAAGGGCAAGGCAGTAACATGGCCACTATATCCTCTATTGGGCGGCAAAAGTAAGCTTTCCTTGCACAATAATCGAAGGCTGTACCTTTTACGAGTTCGGTCGACCATGGCGTATGCATTTGCTGACCTACGCCTCATAGGCAATACCATTCTCGCTCTAAGTGCGACAAAATAAACTGCTACACCTTCTAGCAAACGCGTCGTAATTTGTGCGCCATGTAAACTACACCGCGGACTCAAGTCGAACCGTTAAAAGCAGTCAATAAAAGCAATTTCATCGCGCTTAACGAACGGAGAGCTGAGCACTCTTGCCGTTTTATAGAAGAAGAACTCACTTATGAGGCATAGGGCGGCTTACAGTACTCCGCCCGCATGACAACTTAGCCTAATTGTTTAATGCTACGTTGGAAGTTTAGGTTAAACGCTAAGGGACACACATGAATAGCTCTAAAATAAAAACTTAAGTTGTACTTGTAAGCAACTAAACCTGTTCAACAAAGCCAGGAGATAGATTAATGTTACTTTAAAGCATTGAACAGTTGCACTTTTTTAATGTCTTTTCTATATAGGCTTTATCCTTTAAAATTCTCTTGTCTCTTAAAAAAATATAAATTATATGTAAGGAACGTCCAACCAACTTAATGTCCTTGAGTCTCTCTACACCGCTTGTCGTTCTCGTAACGGTGTGTACACTATTAATGGATTGTATGATATGCTAACTTTCTTAAATAAATTTGCTGTAACATACTCCAGGAAAAATGTTTGCTTTTGCACTGCTAAATAATTACGAGCGTTGGTAAAAGTCATTAATAATATTAGGCTCCCTTATGTTTAATGCAAGGAATATATAACATTTTAGAAAAGCAATTCCATTCTAATAGATTAATATTTACTATAAATGGGCTAAGGGTAAAAACTTAAACTTATACTTACCTTACTCGAGGTCCCTAATACTCAGCTTAATATACTATGGTTTTTCAGCATTTGTTACGTAATCTTAGTATAATTTTATAATTAGTTATGTAATATTAAATTGTGACCAGTAAAATCATTATTAATGCGTGCAAATCATAATAAATAAGAATTCATGGGTATTGTTTAGAATAAATCGATGCTCTAGAACTTTATATAATTTCATGCTAATAACCTTGCGTTATGGTATTATGGAAATAGGTACATTATAAAAAAATTATGAGGCTATATAAATATTTAGTAAAAATAAACCTTTTTAAGATTTAAAAGTTCATTCTATAAAGTTTTAAGTTTACAAATAGAATTTAAAATTTCATATAAACGACTAATCTATATATGTTGCGAAGAATGTTGAATAAAACGAAACATTTTAACTTTGTATCAGCTCTTCTTATATGCTTGTGATTAATTTTAAGAAATAATGCTTAAATTTTTCTTTGTTCCAATACTCACACTCTCAGGGGAAGTTTGTGTGTCTTAGTGGGCAAAAAATGTGTAATGATGCTTACAATGAACTAGGTTTGTTGATTTGCGATTTTTTTTTTTAGGTTACTTTTTACAAGTTCAATTAAAAAAGAGCCAAATCAAAACGATTCCGGCTAATGATTACAAAGAAGGTGCATTTACTAGTAAGTTTACTTAGATATGCTTAACTATGATGACCTTTTAATTTTTATTTTAACACTTCTAGTAATATACACAATGACGTTTCAAAAAAATTTCTTTTTGCACTAGGCCACTTTAAGAAAAGTAAGGCCTAATATATAATATTTATGAATACCGCTAAATAAGATCATAATAATTTATATAGATAAATAGAATCTACTCGATAAGCAAGTATTTGTTAAATACTTAAATTTATTCCAAAGTTTAAATGTTATAAATTTAGAAAGCAATTTTCAGGTTTATAACATTAATTTTTGATATATATGGTGCATTCGCTGAAAAACGCATTCTTAAAATATTTATAGTGACATTGCTTTTTTGCTAGAGACTGGCAGTGGCAGTAAAGGTGATTACCATAAAATGCTTTAATGGTTATAAAATCATAACGAGTCCTTCTTCAGACAGCGTGTAAGGCAACTCCCAGCTCTTCTTTCAAATCCAGTTAAGTTTTTATAATAATAATTAATAAACACTTTTTATAATAAAATCACTTAAAGGTAGCATTTGGCGCTACGTCATGTTTAATTCAAACTCCCCATACGTAGATATCATTAGAGCTTAAATAAGTGCCTTATTAATTTTTAATGTCATAAAGTTGCCAGATACCTCCCTGGTGGAATGAATAAAATACAAAAGAACAGTTGTTAGGCTTAGAAGAAATTGTGAAAGCATTTTCTAGAAGGCTTTAAAAATATGTGTTAATCAACTAATCCGAAGCTATCAAGAAAAGCAAAACTATAGAAGCGCAAGCGTTGAAGGTTATAACAATGCTTTTTTAATCTATTTTTAGTACTTAAGTGCTTCTGCCTCGCTTCTAATTATTGTGTCTTTAGCTAACTTACATTAGGTTAGAGAACTTAGCGCTCTCTTTTCAGTTGCTGTATTAGCTCTAGATTAGTACTTTCTATGATACTTCTATAAATTATGTTATTAAATAAACCTAGTTAGTGCTATATATATGGACTTTCGTTTTTAATTTAATATATAAATATTTTCATACAAGTAAAAATGCATTATATAATAAATTTAATGAACCGTTCCCGCAAATTGAGAGGCAACCAAAACGCGCTGCTCGCATAATTCACTATCAGCCATTATTAACGTATCAGCATCCTGAAACCTGCGCTCTTTTGTTTATATAATAAATTTAATAATTAGAGTTACAATAATTTTAATTTGTTTGTTTGTTAAACTGTGTTAACTTTTAAAATATCCTTAAGAAGAGGAATAACAAGAAGCCGGCTTGCGACTTTTGTTTTATTTTATTTTATAATAACTTGTCAAACAAACGAGCATGTTTTCATTTGGCTCCTTTCTTCCTTACTGGCCTTCAACTTTAGACTCTAAGAAAAGTAAAAAAAAAAAAATTTATTTTAAATTTTATCCACCATACTCAAACAGACCAAAGAGTACTGGAGTCCATACACTTATAACTTTTTAACGCTTTAGTATGTTCTTTTTAATACTAACTTTTATTTTTTTAACCATATCATAATTTTTTTTATATAAGGTTTTTCACTTTATCTTATTATAGAGAAAATAACTCGCAAAACCAAAATAAAAACAACTAGTAGTAAACTAACCACTAGTAAATTAACTAATATTAAAGCACCTACTATTAAGCCAACTAGTAGTAAATTAACCAGTAGCGATCGAGGAAAGTTAATATCAATACTTCCTCTTCTGCAGCCTCTTAATATCTTCAAACAAAATTCTTAAGGCTCATCTACGCTCCAAAGTAAGTTTTCAAGAGTAAATAATACATTTTATAATATTTAAAAGTAAAAAATACTTCTTTTGATAACCTAAAGACAATTTTTTTTATAATCCAGAACAAAATTTATTAAGTTTATTTTAAAAAATCTCTGGTTCCATATGGCCTTCATTAATTCTGCTTCTATTTAAGCTAGAAAAAATTATTTATTCAAAAAAAAAACAGCCTCATATTTTTTAATTACTTTCTATCTGTATAGAAACAAAAAAAATTACCACTAGGGAAAGCAATCCCGCGGGATCACAGAAACCAACAAAAATTTTTGGTTTTGCTAGTTTTTGTTCAGCCTGTCACTGACAGGCATAAAAAATTAACTTCAATTTTGCTAATCTAAAGGTTCTCTTAATACTATGCGTACCTGCAAGAGGAAAATATTTTCTAGCTGAAAAAGTCCAGTTCTACTTAGACGCTTTCCATACCTTACAAGGTAGCAACATTTTAGAAACCTTCAAGAAAAATTTTAAAAAATAATAAAAAAAAAAATTGAAAAAAAAATTGAAAGGTTAATTATTTTTTTTTTCGTTGCTTAAATTAATGATTTCGAAAATGGTATTTCAAAAAAACTATTATGTCTAAGATGTCGTTATTCATATGACACCTTAATTCCGTACAAAAGTTGCTTGACGGTGGAATTGTAAGAAGGTACTGGTGCACCATCTCTAATTTTTCACTCTTTGGGGACCTTGCTCCCTTAATATTATTTCCTTTATAACTGCATCCTAATATTCGGGATCGCTTTTAATTTCTGGTTTAATTGTTAATAGCCATATCAAGCTGTTCCCTGATCGACAAATTCTCCATTTGGGAATTTCGTCAATATTTTTCCTGTCTTTATCCTCAGCATTGGTTGACGTTCATCCTCACGGCTTAAACCTCTAACAAAATTTTCTATTGTTTTCCAAATAAAATTTTGCAATTAACAAGTAAAAACCTTAGGAGGAAGAGATTTTCTTTCGAACGCCCTCAGATTATCAAGAAAAATCAAGACCGATGCCAGTACAATTCTTCGTTCAGTTATTCTTTTTTTTATCGCTGTAGATAATCCACTACTCAATTTATTCTTTAGTTGATACAATTTTCTTAACAAAAATTACAGGGTGGTTTCGGCTGTTATTAAATTTGCGCTTCACCTGCCGAGAACCTCGACGGCTGCTTTGAGAGTCTCAAGAGTGCGCTATGGATATCTTGGTGTAATTGCCATTACGATTCACAATAACTTATTTCCGCATGCAACCCTAACAATGTTACTGTAACACAGGTCTTTAGCTTTAAAAATCTTTCTACTTTCTACCTTATGTATAGACTACTCCATCTTGTCTTACAATCCAATTTTAAACAATTCTCCTCTAAACTGATCTTTTATATTATTTTGCAAATAAATCTCAATTATTAAAAAAGGTTTTCTGATCAACTTTACAACTTTATAAACTTTATTAATTATTACTTTATAATCTACTAATTCCATTAAAAAACTTTGTTTTTAACTTCGGTGAATGGTGCGTCGCCTGATTCATTCGACGGAGAAACCTTCTTTTTGCCTTCAGTCTCAGTTTCAATTTCTTCTCCCACTTTATCCTTTTCTTATTTCTTTTGTAAAGAACATCTAAGACTCTAATCGGAAGGCCTTAAAGATAACACAGCTGCTGTTCCATAAGAAAGACACAAACATTTATTTAAGCAAAGTAAATTACTTAAAGACTTTGAAACTTTAACTAACCAAAACCTAGCTCTACATTTAACCTTTCACCATTCTTATCATTACACTAGCACCTTCATTACAAAAGGCTACTATACCTTTTTCGAAAGGCAAATTAAATAACTTTGATCTATTTTACAAAAATATCCTCGGCAGACTTTTCCCCTTTCATCCGAGAGAGTACTAAGTTGTAAATGAACTGAATTTCTGCTACAGCAATGAACGTTTACATTTAAGTAGCGTAGGTTTCTTTTGGAGGTTCATTCGTCTAACTTTAATAAAAATATGTGATAAGAAAGATGTTAATAATACAAGTTAAATTAAAAAAAAAAAAAGGGGGGGGGGGGGGAGATTACCTGTAATTTTGGCGATGCATTGCAAGAATTTCTCAATTATTCATTTTTAACAAATTTCCAATTCATTACGGTAGTTCTAGCAGTGCGAACTAAATCCGGTAAACTACGTCCCGATTAATCGTATAACTATCTTAGATCCATCGAAGTAATAAAAGATTTTAATAGAAAACCATCTAATGCAACCATTCGCAGTATCATCTCAGTGCTTTCGTTCTTTAAGATAAAAAATAATCCTCAAATTTCCTTTCTTTTGGTTGAAAGAGTGATGTCGACTCATCAAAATTGTCGTCGGGATCTACGTCAGGTTCGGTCCCTTTTTAATACTACTGGAAAGTGTTACTTTGTAAATTTTAAATCGTTCTTATTATCGGTTCTAAAATAAGTATGCAATCCTTTGTCGATCTAGCACTCAATTTTATAACTCCTGAATATTCTTTGCACGTTGCATATTTTTATCCGTACTTTTTAAAAAGAATTCAAGAGGATGCCGAGTCTGAACCACTTGTTCAAAGTGACTACTTCCTTTTTTTTTACTCACTGTAATAAAAAAAAAGAAACAAAGCATATAAATATATGTTACAAATTTAATTTTAAGTCGTAAATTAATAAAAGTGTGAGTTTATTTCGCATAATAGGCATTATTAAAAGCACGTGACAGAGGAAACTGAAAAGAACTTGACGTTATGAGCCATAAGCACGTCATAAGGAAAAAACCATTTTAAATCACGAATAAAAGAATCTTAGACCGTTTTGAGAGGATTTCTGAAAAAATGGATTAATAAGTGATAAAAGATAACTTAATTTTCAATCCCTCAAAGGGCCCGTTTGCATTCCCGACTTCCCATAGCTGTTTAGATTAACAAAATAATATACAAAAGCTGTGAAGGAGTGCCCTCCAAAGTACTTTAACTCTGGTGCAGGTGCAAAGCTATTCATTAATAAAATAATAATTATTATTATTTAATTTTCTCTTGCTGCAGTTTTGAACTCCTTTTTATATACTGCCAAACGTCTGCTGTCACCGTAATTTTACAAAAACGTATGTTTCCTACTATCTTTTAAAAAAGGAGCAATTAATTTTTAATTAAAGCATGTTCATAAGAGCATTAAATTAATTTAGTTTACATTTTCTTAGGTAGTTATAACCATTGAGCTCTCGAACAGGTTCACTGATAAGAATTAACCACAACTTTCTTAGTCTGTAGTAAGATGCTTTGAATTTTACTTTATCTTAAGCTTTAGGCGCTTCAATTGAAAAAGACTTTCCTTGTCCTAAAAAAACCTATAAAGATATTTAATAGATTAGTAAAATTAATAAAGTCTCACCTCACTAAACCTTAAAATTCCCTACCACGACCAAAGCGGTATAAGGATTAGCTGACCTCAACTTTTTTGTAGTTTGTACCCCTCGGTAGATTGGTCACGTGTCACCTAACAATGATATACCACTTTTAAAGGTTTCCTTCTATGATTCTAAAAGCCAGCATTTTGTTGACACTTAGAGTTGAAACTTTGTGGTTAGTACCTGTGAGAGGTGCACTTTTTGGTTAACTATACTGATGAAGTTAAACTAGTCTACTTTTAAGACTCAGAAGCTTATAATAATTATAATTTTTGTTACTGCTAAGGCAATTTTTAAAATAAAAAGGCACTCTCTGCTAACCAGTTAAATAGTTCGTATAAAGCTACACCATTGCTGACATGAAAAAGTTACTCTTTGACGAAGAAAAAGAGGAGGCACAGTAAGGTTATTTTACCGTAGAGAAAGGAAATATATATCTTTAGAGAGAGTAAAAAAATATTTCACAATTAGCCAGGCACATATTATAACGTACTGCATCAACTGAGTACGTGATTTACTTAAGTTAAAACTCCACCACTTTCGAAACGTCTAATATATTAGCTAACATAATGATTACTGGAGTTGAGATATTTTCTTGAGAAGCCGTTCCGGTGCATACAACGAAGTTTATACCTATAGGATAGACCCGCAATAAAACTAAAAGTACTCAGAAGATGAGCACTGTCCCTGACTGTATACAAATATTGAGTCCCATTTAATTGATTATGCAAATTGTATAAAACTCTTTTTTTAAAAACAAAAATTTAAAAAGGAAATAAAATTTACTTGATTTATATCTAGCGTTAAGTTTAGCGCAGTACTTTGAGAGAGGTGGTAACAGAGGCTATTATATAGACAACATTGTTGTATTTCATATAAGTAAATATATCATCCCTATAACTTTTGTAAAACTTAATTTATGGACTAAATTTAAGTTATTTTCCCATAATATGCTTAATAAAGTATCGAAGCTGATGCGGCAATGTTTCCCATAAGAACCCTGTAACTGCCGATAGAATTTGCCTCTAAAAATCAAGATATTTTTCACATTAACATGCATATAAAATTTGTATTCAATTTTTACTTTTTACAGAGAGTTTTACACTCTTTTTATAAGAATACTGGTATGTAGAGATTCGAAATATAAAAAACAGATGGTTTCACCATCTACTTAAATTTCCTTTAATAAAGGCTTTAGAACTTCTGAATTTTTAAAAAAAAAAAGACACGTTTGAAGCACGCAGCCAGATGAAAGTGTAGTCATTTTGCGCTTCCTGTCATAAGGTTATTGCAGTACGCTGGCAAGTTTTATAACACCTCTCAAGAATTTCAGGATTGCATAATAGCTATAAACTTTTTTATTTTGATAATGAAGCATGATCTTTGATAGCGTAATATTATAAGGGTCCTTAAGAGCTTCAAACGTCAACTAACCACTCGGTATTACTAAAAATTCTTTTAAATTTTTAACTATGGAGATGGGACTGTTTACTTGCACCCTTTATCTTGCAGTAAGTACAAACGCTCGTTGCGCAATAAACGATGATTGTGTATGCTGTGGATTTAGGTAATAATAACATGGGCCTTCTGATTCTTGAATCTACGACCCCAAAGCAACGAGCGTCCGCGCTTTAATTACGGCAAAATAAGTTGCTACGCATGAAGACTTATGAACCGTGGTTTGTGCGAAATGAAGCTCACCTTCGGAACCCCCAGCAAGACCCATCGACCGTTGTCTTCCAGCACAATTCCCTTGATCTTTATGCCCAGCTAGACTGGTATTCTAATCTTATTGCTGCAAGCTAGATAACTTATAGGCGCCATGGCACGGCACGTCATCGCCATCCACGTGACGCGCTTAAAGCTCTTGTTATAATTTTCGTAGGTATTTCTTGGACTTTACTTTAAGGAAACTAATTTACTGACTTCCCCTTAACCAATTAAAATGTCTCCTTTAGCTTACAAGCACGCAGTAGCCTTGTTAATGAATTGCATGACGTCGCATTAAGTTAGTTTAGGTAGAGTGTAAACAACTTAACTCGACCATAGCTTTTAGGGGAGAGTGTAAAGATAATTCAGTAAACCTATTTTATTTGCTGCTATCATCCTAGGTATAGTCTCTACAGTTTAACTTTGACTATGCGAAGAAGAAGCTAGATTAACACAGATGAACTATATGAAGAATTGTCACTCGTCCGAGATTAGTGTGTAGTTTGTCTGCGATTACTCCTGTTTGAGATCTCAAGTATTTAAAATTATTTATCTGAGTCCCAAATTATTATAAAGCATTCCTTTGTACAAATAACAATTTTCGTACCACCTTTCATGTTATATTTATATGCGTAACTTACATCTGAGTATATTGCTATGTCTAGCTTTTCAGATCTTCTGATCCTTTGTATTAAAAATTTCGTACCAAGTAATTATTTATATATCTGTTTGACTGCGTTCCAATCTCTTTTGTTAAGGGCTGTCTGCTTAAATATTGAGTCACTTGTTTACGACAGTTATACTGGGTTTCGAGTTACCGAAGCAACCCAATTAGTTCATTGCAAGGGTTTTTGCTGTGGATGCTATTAAGCTTTAAAAGAACTTTTTATTCGTAATTTAATGTACAGAAGGCATGGAGTTTAGCAATCTATAGTCTTTAAGTAATTTTATAATCATATTCCCCTAAGCAAAGGCTGTTTCATTATCTTTGATGCTAAAAAACCGTTAAAGAGTCTACTTATAATCTCTTTAAAATGAAAATTAATTGCTTTCATGGTTCTCTCTTGTTCTTTCGAGATCATTTGACCAAATTCGAAAATTTTTTAGGTAAAAAATGACAATACAGTTAAGGACGGAAATTTTACTATAGAGCACACAAGGCATTATAATAGCTTCATTAAGTTTTTTCTTTCTTAATTTCGTTGACACTAGTTTGCTAGGTATG